TAGATCAATAGTTGCAACTTAGAAGGCTGCTTGCAAGCTTTTAAGGCCCCATTTGAATAAGGAAGATTTTAAATCACAAGTGGAAGAGACTTTTCTGAAGGAATGCTGGGCTTGAATTGCTAATAACTAGTGTGTCTCTTTCTAAGACAGGAAGACCCTGGAGGAGGTAGATTGGCACAGTGACTGGGACAATAGGGGCAGGTGTGTCAGAGAGAATGAGATTGGCTCAGGGCAGGACAAGCTCAGAGCTATTGTGCATGGGGTCGCTGTGAGTCCTAGGTGACTCAATGGCACACAACAACAACAACAGCAGCAACAATGAGCCTCTTGTGTCTCACAAGCTGCACAGGTGTTGGTCTTTCTTCTGTGTGGTGTGTGACTGGGGGCAGGCGTAGAAGTGTTTTCTCACCATCCAACCACAGGGAGACCCCACCAGCTCTGTGCTGGTCTCCAACTCACAGAACTCACTTTGACCTTGGTCTGATGGCTTGTATAGATGGTGTGCTTTTTTTCTGTAGCTGTTAAAAAAAAGCACGTTTGCTACCAAAAACCAAAAAAGGGTGTGGCTTTTTTTTTCTTTTGCAGCGTGTCTGCGATGATGAATGTGTGTGTTTTTCTTTCCTCATTTCTGACTCATAGGGACCCTCCTTTGGGATTCCAAGATTAGACATCTTTATGGGATGAGATGGCCTCATGTTTTACCTGCAGAGCAGCGAATTGATTCGAACCACTGATCTTTAGGTTGGCAGCCCTCTGTGTCACACACTATACTGCTCAGGCTCCTTTTTCTTAGGAACTATCTGAAATTTTATCCTCAAGCAGTTAGGTGATTGGTCTAGTGAGCTGGACATTTTAGTTTGGGACACAGACTTCTTCTAGGTTCCGTTTATGTGGTGGCGGTGCAGTTTGCGATACCTCTTGTTTTGCTGGTGGCACTGTGGTTAAGGTATTCAGCTAGAAGATTAGCAGTTCGAATCCACTAGCCGCTCTGAGGGAGTAAGTTGTGTCTGGCTCTTGGAGAAAGGGCAGTTCTTGCTTGTACCAGTTTGATGGCAGTGGGTTTCTGGAAAATTCTCTTAGGGTTTCCTGGCCTCCTCTGAACTCCCCCCGGCCTCCCAGCCTTCGTAGGTTTGAATCTTGGCTGTGCTGCTGAGTCCAAATGGGACTCGGCCACCTTCTGCCGTAGAGAGAAGCAGTGTCTCTTAGCTGATGATTTGCAGGCCAAGGGCTGCACTGGGGCGTGGCGGGGCCGAGCCCCTTGGGGACGTGTCCAGCTCTGTGGGTGCTGGAAGAACTGAATGAGGCCTTTGAGGTGATGCCCTGAGTCTCCGTGTTTTCATACCAGAGCGCAAAGCTGCTCACCAAGCCGGTTACTCCCCCTTGTAACTTTCCACAAGGAGAGGTCTGATTCCCTGTCGCTTGTGAGTGAGGTTTTGGGATTTGTTTTCTGTTTCTTTTTTTAATTATTATGATAAATTTTAATGAAAATTGACAAAGATTTTGGGTCTCCATTCATTCATTGTTGCACTTTTCTCCCTGTCCACCCCTCCCCTCCAGTTCGTTCTTCTTTTTGAAAAGTAAAAGAAAAATTCTTTCATTGTTATGCAGTCCCTCCCCCCAAGTCCACTCCACTGTGCACTCTTCAGGACTGATATCGGGGTTGAGGGAAGACAGAGAAGTAGGAGAGGAATGATGTATACTGCATTGAAACAGATGAGGGAGAGAACTGTTTAAAAGGGATCAATGATTAGGTATTATTGTCACGACAGGAGTGAGTGAGGGTTTTAAACAGGTTCAAGTTTGTAGGAGGCCTCAGAGCCGGAACTAGGGAATGAGCATTCCTTCCTTTTTTTTTTTTTTTTTTGCTGGGCGATGGTGTAACTCCACACTTCACCGCAGGGAGGGGAGTTGGCCAGGGACATGCCCTTTTGAGATCTGGGTCCTGGTCCTTGCTGAGGGCCCCTCAAGGTAAACTGGCCCTTGGCCCAGCAACAAGTGCATTTGGATGTCCCCAAAGCCCTAGTTTGCACGGGTGTCAGATGTATTCCTGTCCTTACGCATCTGATGATTGGAGAGATGAAAGAGGCAAGTTGGCGCAAAACTCACCAAAGATGTCCTAGAATAGGAACCTGGACGGGATAGGAAGGCCGTGGGCGGATGCAGCAGGTGAATGATGAGGGGCCTCCGGGCTCTGCTGGCCGGAGATTTGGAAGGAGGACATTTAGGCCAGAGAAATGGCAGCAGGATGTTTGGGGGTGCTGCCCCCTCCCTCTCTATAAGAATGATGTTTATTAAACATATTCATTTAGACAATACGGTGCATGCGCCTTATTAGAGAGCTAATGTGATACAAGGCAGAACCAGCCGGTGAAGTATATAATTAAAAAACTCCCATAATTATTTGTTTTCATATGTCTGCGATGACTTTATTAACAGGTGAATTAAGTCCCTAACCGATGTCCTAGCTGAAGCCTGATTACATTTTTTTATTTTATTTTATTTTTGTGTGCGTGTACTGTCAAATCAGATCTGACTGGTACAGGAGGAGATTGCCCCTCCTTCCCTGGCAGAGCATCTGGTGGATTCGAACCATGCGCCTCTGGGATTGTAGTTGCAGCTCCTTGCCACTAGGCCACCAGAGCTCCCCTGCCTGATTACATTTGAAATGTCTAGAAGTGGGTGGTGAGGAGAAGACAGAAGCGATACCCTTCTAATTAACGTGTGTGTGTGTGTGTGTACACGTGTGTACACACGTGTGTTTGCACATTTGATTGTGGTTTGGGTGAAAGTTTATGGCAGAAATTCATTTGCCCTTCAACAACTTCTACACGTTTTGTTTCCCTACACTCTTCCCACTCCCTCTCTGGGTACCTCTCTTCCATTCGCTCATCTTTTCTGCCCCTTCTTGCCTTCTTCTTTTTTTTTTTAAATAAAATTTAATTTTAATTATGATTTTAACAATGTTTGCAGAGAAGTTAGATTTTTATTCATTCCTTGTTGCACATTTTACCCCTCTCCTTTCCTTCCCCCTCCCCCAGTTCACTTTAAAAAAAATATTCATTCATGGTTGTACAATTACCGTACTCCTCCCCCTCCCCCAATCCTCTTTGCAGTGATACAGCTCTTATTCTGGGCATAATACCTAATCATATATTCCTTTGAACTTGTTCCAATGTAATAGTCATTATCTAGCCACTCTTAAATTGTAAATATTTATTTTCTTTTTAATTTGGTGTACCGTTGAATTGGATCCGACTGGCACAGAAAGGAGTTTGCCCCTCCTCCTCCAGCGGAGCATCTGGTGGATTTGAACCGTGCACCTTTGGGATTGCAGTGCAACTTTGTGCCGCTAGGCCAACCAGAGCTCCCTTGTCTATCCATTCTTAGCCTGTTCTCTTCCCAACCCTCCATGTCAGACCTGCTTTATAACAGGGGTCCTCTGCAGTATTTGTCCTTTTGTGACTGAGGTAGTTCACTCAGCAAGATGTGCTACGGGGCCCCCATGTATCCTTCTTGCCTTCTGACCTTTGCTGTTGGGTGAATGCTGCCCTTTTGATCTTGTGTGGCTGACTGCGGTGAGGAGAGCATCAGTTCCTCACTGGTGGTGGTGGTCCCTACATTATAGTCCTGCCTATTGACTTTGGAGATGGGCTTAGTTTTGGGTTTGAAGGGTGTTTAAGGCTCTTTATTCTCAGGTGGCTCTGTATCAGATCAGCATGTCTTTATGGCTTTGAACTTTGCTCTCCATTTTCCTCCTGCTCTGCCCAGGACCTTCCATTGTGATCCTAAACCTGCTGGTGGTGGCCGGCACCTTATTCTACTGGTCTCATCATAGTGGAGCCTCTGGGTCTGGTGGTCCAGGAATCCTGTGGACTAATTGTTTCCTTGTATGTTCAGCCTTCTTTTCTCTGGATGGGGGAAGAGAATAGTTGTACCTTAGGTGGCCACGCTCGGATTTTTAAGCCTGCTGTCATTGCTTATCAAAGTAGCGGGTAGAAAGGACATTGTCCGTATGGACCATGAAATGACAGTTGACCTAGGTGCCCCCCAAAAGTGTGGTCCTGAGCTCTGGGAGCAGCAACTCATCCCCTCATGATGTTTGATTGTGGGTTGTGGCTGGAAAGTTTGCCTCACTTGTCCCCTTGTGAGCTCTGTACTTGGGTATTTGCAGTACCTGTAAATAAGGAAGTAGAAATAGCTTCTGGCAGCCTGTAGACGTATGTGACTCCAGTACACCACCTGGCTGGGACTTCCTGAAGAAGCCGCAGGTCATTAGTTCAAAATAGAGAATGATGACCACACAGGGTGAAGTGGGACAAGGGATTTGAGTAGAGGGGCATCTGAAAGTCTGAATGGGGGGTGGGGTGGCCATGAGGAGGTGCAGAAATTCAGTGGAACCCCCAGGAAACATCTGTTTTCAGAGGTCGCAGAGCAAAGACAGTGGGTGAGGACATTTGGAACAGAATGTGTCTGGAGGCTGCTGTCAGGCCCCCTCGTCTCCAGGTGAAACAGCTCTCATCTTTGGGCTGCTTCTCTCTGAAACATTGCCCAATGCTGTCATCACCCCTTTGGTGTCTCATACCTGCCCCCCACCCCCTTGTTGTGCACTGTTGAACTGGATCTAGCTGGCACAGGAGGAAATTGCCCGTTCTTCTCCAGCAGAGCATCTGGTGGATTCAAACCATGCACCTTTGGGATTATAGCACAACATCTTGCCACTAGGCCACCAGAGCTCCCTTCGTACCTGTCTTTTGAGAGTTAGATGAGTTAGGTGTCTGGACAAGTAGGTGAAGAAGTTGTAGAAGAGGAAGAAGCACAGGGGTAGATGCCCGTGTGCTGGGACGTTGAGGAATGTTGGGGTGATGGTGGGAAGGCACCTCCCACAGGATCCCGTGGTTCCTTTGAGTCAGAGATGGACCAGATCAGGTGGGAGGTGCCCCAGCAGGATGGCCCACCTTGGCTGACCGTGTCTCTTCTCTCTGAATGCAGCTCTTTCCACGATGCTTCAAGGCTACAGCTCTGTGTTCCAGGCCCTGCTGGGGACCTTCTTCACCTGGGGGATGACCGCGGCTGGGGCGGCACTCGTCTTCGTGTTCTCTAGTGGACAGGTGAGCGGGCCGCTCGGTTCTGGGAGTCCTGGGGTCTTGGGACAAGATCTGAAGTAGTTCCATACCTCACTTTGGAATGGAATTGTAGACTCTTTTAATACCACAGGCTGCACTTGCTGTGTGTGTACTTGTTGATCTTAGCTGCCGTTTGCTTTCTTCTCTTCCCCATCCTCACCTGCTGGGAGAACAGGAATCTGCTCTCTACGGAGACACTTCCTGCTTCGTCTGCTCCTGAATCCTGACCCTGGACACTGTGCTTAATCGCCCACTAACTTAAAGGTCAAGTTGGAACTGACTCACAGCCGGCCTTCCCTGCAGCAGGGTTTCAGAGGCTGTAAATTGCATGAGAGATTGTCTACCTTTCTCCCAAAGAGCTTCTGCTGGATTTGAACCACCAAACAGTCACCAACTTTGTGTTAGCAGCACAATTCCCTATGGATCACCCCAAGGGAATGTTGTTGTTGTTATTTGTTATTGAATCCACCCATGACTCATAGTGACCCTGTGTACAATTAATTGCTCTGAAGCCTGGCCTAGCCTGAGCCAGTTTCACTGACTCCAACATACCCCAGTCACTGTGTCAATCCATCTCATCTGGGGTCTTCCTCTCCTGCGCTGTCCCTCCACCCTTCCAAGCATGATGTCCTTCTTCAAGGATTAGTTCTTCCTGGCCTCATGCTCAAAGTACAGGAGACAGAGCTTCAAAATCCTAACCTCTGGCGAGCTCTGGTGGCCTAGTGGCACGAAGCTGCAACTGCAATCTCAGAGATGCACAGTTCGAATCCACCAGATACTCTGCTGGAGAAGGAGGAACAATCTCCTCCTGTACCAGTCAGATCTGATTTGACAGTACACACAAAAAATAATGAAATAAAATAAATTTTATAAAAAAAAATCCTAACCTTTAAGGAGAAACTCGATTTCACCCTCTCCAAGACAGACTTGTTTGTTCACCTGGCAGTCCATGATATATTCAAGACTCTTCTCCAGCACCACAAGTCAAAGGCCTCAGTCACTCGTGGAAGTTGGAACTGATTACACATTGAATAGTTACACAGAGGATTGTGGCTCTGTTGACACACACAATATTAACCACCCCAACTCCTCTCTTTTGGAGTTCCAGGGCTAATCCTTTATCTTCTGCTAGTCCAGGCACTGAAAAGTGGGAGACATGAGTCCATTCAGAGACACCTCAGAAGAAAGGCGGGGTGACCCACATCCAGGAACCTGCCCAGTGACACACCCTCTGGGCACAGCTCTTCTTGCAACCCCTGCAGTCCACGTCAGTTGGATCTAACCCATGACCAGTAGTTTTTTTGATCACCACACCAGTCAGAGGAGATGTTTAGACCTTTCTCTAGCCTTGTATGTAGGTGGTCCCCAAGATCACCCCCCTGGTTGATTATTAGATGGAAGGATCTGTGGGACTCACCTGATTGTGTTCATAGGTGAGGTTTATCACAGGGGAAGGACACAGGATAGTATCAACAAGGGAGAAGACAGATTCCAGAGAAACCTGTGTGCAGGCTTCCAGTGGTTCCTGAGCAGGCTTCTGTCCCCAGCAGCAGGAAATACAGGAGCGAGTGCCTGGTTCTGACCCAGGGAGGCTCACTGGAGACTCATCCGATTCCTCGCCTGGGAGTCGGCCACTTGAGTGCCGTCTGCGTAACGTGTATCAGCCTTCCTGACTCTCAGGTGGTCAGCAGCACATCCTGGGCGGTTTGTGTGCACAGCCTTGGCACAGTGAACTCGCCTTATCAGCGGGGAACACGTCCAAGTGCCACGTTCCCTGAAGGAACCAGCCCTGCATGCTGGACCTTCTCGAGCCCACAGCAGCCGTGGGTGGACTGTGCCCACCTCTCCTGCACAGCGCGTGGGTGATGGAGTGGGCAGGGACACGGCTTCGGGAGACACAGGCAGCCAGAGTTGTGGGTCGCCTGCTGTGTTCTGACCCTCTCAACAAACAGACCTTGGTTTTCACCTGAACGAAACAAGCTGAGGCGAGGTCTCTGCAGGTGGCAGACACTCAGTCTGCCCTATCTGTGCTACCAGGCTTGTCATTGTTCCATACACAACATATTGCCCTGATTTAATGGTCAGAAACTTGCAAACTGTGGAAAACTCAGTCGCTGATTGCCATCCGACTCGCAGCTAACTCTGCAGTGGGTTTTCCGAGGCCACCCATCCTACATGAAGGGATTCATATGTAAGTGTGTATGTGCGTACTTAGTTTCTTTACAGCGAAAACCCACTTGTCCTTAGTATTTTATAACCAGCTGATCTAGTCTAGGAAATTGCTAACACCAAGGCTGGCCCTCTCTGGCAGTTTGAAACTACTAGCCATTCCTCAGGAGAAAGATGGACAGTCTCCTCCTGTGTGAGTTGTTGTTGTTGTTGTTATGTGTCGTTGAGTAGCCTGTGACTCACAGTAACCATTATGCACAATAGCTCTGAACTCTGTCCTGTCCTGAGCCAGTCGCTGTCTCCGGCGCACCTAACCCCATGACTCCAGTTACCATGTCATTTCATCTTATCTGGGGTCTTCCTCTCCACTCTTTTCCCTCCACCCCTCCAAGCACGGTGTCCCCCCCCCCCCCCCCCACCCGCAAGGACTGGTCATTCCTGGCAACAAGCCCAAAGTGTGTCAGATGGAGCTTCAAAATCCTTGCCTCCAAGGAGCAGCTTGGTTTCACCCTTCCCAGGATGGACCTGTTTGTTCTCTTGGCAGCCCATGGTATGTTCAGTACTCTTCCCTAACACCACAACGCAAAGGCATCATTAACACGTTGCCGCAAATGACAGCAAATGTGTTTCTAAGCACAGTCGTCAATTTAAGTGTGTGGCAAAGTGTTAATTACTCTTTGCTCATCTTTGTCATTGTCCAGTTCTTAGACGGTCACGGCCTGAATCAGGCGCACCTTACTTAGTCTCTAGACTGACATCATTGCTCTTTAGCACTCTGGAGAAGTCTCTGAAAGCAGATTTCCCTAATGCAACTTGTCTTTTGTTTTCTTGACTGCTAGGGCCTAGGTGTGTCGGAGATGGTGAGATTGGTACAGGGTAGGGCAGAGTTTAGGGCTGTTGTACATAGGGTCACTATGAGTTGCAGGTGACTCAATGGCAAACAACAACAACAGTGCCAAGAGTGTTGATTGTGAAGTTGAGTAAGCGGCAATTGTTAAAAATCTCAGTCTCCTCTCCATCTGTCATGATGTTGCCAATTGGCCCAGTGGTGGGAATGTTTTTTTTTCTCTTGATGTTGAGCTTCAATCCCTATTGAAGACTACAGTCCTTGATCTTCTATATTAAATGTTTCAGGTCCTCCTCAGTCTTGGCAAGCAGAGCTGTGTTGTGTGTATAATGTAGATCGTTGATGAGTCTTCCTCCAGTTTTGATACTACATTTCTCATCATAAAGCCCAGGCTCCCAAATGACTTGTTCTGCATATAGAATGGGAAGGTATGGAGACAGGACGCATCCCTGACAAACCCCTTTCCTGATTTTGAAATGCTGAGTTTCCTTGCTCTGTTCTGAGGACTGCGTCCTGGTCCAGGTATAGGTTTCTCATGAGCACAATCAGGTGTTCTGGGATTCTTGTTCTTCTCAAGAGTAGTCAAATTTGTTGTGATCCACACAGTCAAATGCCTTAAATGCCTTTGTATAGTCGATGAAACACAGATAGACGTTCCTCTGGTACTCTCTCCTCTCAGTCAAGATCTACCTGACATTGGCTATGATGTCCCTAGTGCCACAGCCTCTTATAAACTCAGTTTGGATTTCTGGTAGTTCTCTGTCAGTGTACTGTTCTAGTCGTTTTTGAATAATCTTCTGCAGGCTTTTGCTTGCATGTGATGTTAGTGATATTGTTCCATAATTTCCACTCTCTGTTGGATCTCCTTTTTTTAGACTGGGAATAAATACAGATATCTTGCAGTCAGTTGGCCAGGTAGCTGTCTTCTAGAAGGCATGGCCCAACTTGGTGAGCACATCTAGGGCGGGATCTATTTGTTGAAATAAGTTGGTTGATATTCCATCAATTCCTGGGGCTTTGTATTTTTCCAGTTCCTTCAAAGCAGGTTGAACTTCCTCCTTCATCACCATCACCGTTGCCTCCTGATCATATAGTGTTTTGTGAAATTCCTCTGTGTCAGCCAGTTCTTTTAGGTACAGCATTAAAAAAACTCACCAGAGGGTCAGCTATGAGTCAGTTTCAAACCAGTGGACATGAATTTGTTTTCTCACTGGAAGGAGCCCTAGTGGTGCATTAAGTTAAGTGCTGGGCCACTTATGGAAAGCTTGATGGTTCGAATCCCCCAGTTGCTCTGTGGGAGAAATATGAGGCAGTCTCCTATTGAAAAGACTTATGATTTCAGCAATCTTAAGGGGGAGGGCGGGAGGGCAGTTCTGCTCGGTCCTCCAAAGTCTCTGTGGATTGCAATCAACTGGATGGCAGCGAATTTCTCACTTGGCATCATAAGTGCTCACTGTGTATCTTTAGATCTTCTTTGAGGGTATTATTAAATTGCTACATTATATCTTTTCAGTGGCTGTACACAGTTTGCTAAGCCATTCTCCAGTTGCTGGCTAAACAGGTTATGTCTATTTCTTCTGCTCATCAAAGTATGTTAGGATGAACATGCATCTTTACAAGAGACTGTCCTGAATGGGTCCCTTGAGAGAAACGTCAAGAGGAACAGCAGACTTGGTGCCTTACGAAAAGATACTTGATTTTTTTTCCCCTTTCAAGATGCAGATGAATGCTGCCGGGGATAATTTTTCCAGAATTCGTCATTGTTTGTCTGGTTTGATTAGATTAGGGGATTAGACGACTTGGCTGACGTCACAGCACCTGGAGATGAGTGTGTCATTTATGTCACTCACTGGGGACAGAACCTTCCATCCATCCCACGGCCACTCGAATCTTCCCTTTGTTTGGGCTTCTGGACGTCCTTGGAAACTCTGTGGGCCAGGCTCCTTCTCGCCAGAAGTGACTGACCCCCATGGCCAAGTCTGCTCAGACCCATCCGGAGACTCAGAGGCCAGTAACGTGTCTCCATGAACTGTTCCTGCCTTAGGCCACCTCTTTCAAAAATTTAGTGTTCATATATAAGATGAATATAGAAAAGTATGATTTTCTCAAGTGTAGAACTTAATGTGTTTTCAAAAATGCTCATGAAATTAGCACAAGATCAGGAAACTGGATTGTAGCAGTGCCACTGCAGCCACGTGGGGTTCCTTTCTAACTGGTTCTCTTCACTGCCCACCCTCCTGCCAGAGCCCAGAGCTCCCCAGCACCCCGCCTGTCCCCGCCACCCACCCTCCTCCTAGCTTTCCTCTCCCCACCCATCTTCAACCCTAGCCCCTTTTCCCCCTCTCATCCAACTTCCTCCACTCTCAATCAACCTCATCCCACCCAGCTCCCCCCCCCACTACCCAACTGCCCTCACTCCAAGCCAACCTCAGCCCCCCAGCCTCCTCCCACTGCCCAACTTCTCCCACTCTCCCCCAACTTCAGCTCACTCCAATCTCCTCCTCATCTAACTTTCCCCACTATCACCCAACTTGCACTCACTCCAATCTCCTCCTCATCTAACTTTCCCCACTGTTACCCGGCGTCCCCCACTCCCACTTAACTTCAGCCCACCCACAACCTACCCCCACTACCCAACTTCCCCCACTGTCACCCAGCTTCTGCCACTCCCACCCTCCCTCAGCTCGCCTCCCAATCTCTTCGCTCAGCCTCTCCCCCTCTAACTCAACCTCAACCCACCCCAACCTCCCCTCCACCCAACTTCCTCAAGTCTTACCCAACTTCGACCTCCCCCAACCTCCCCAACTACTCACCTCCTCCATTCCCACCAACTACAACCACCCCCCCACCTCCCCTCACCATCCAGCCTTCCCTAGTCCCATGAACTACAACCCACCCCCCATCTCCCCTCACCACCCAGCCTTTCCTACTCCCACCCCGCTGCAGCCCCCCAACTAAGCCTCTCCTCACTCCCCAGTCTCCCTTTCCTCTACCCGTTCATTCTCCATCCCCACTCAGCTCTCTCTGTACCAGGACCCACTCAGCTTCCCTGTCATTCACTCTCTCTGATCTCACAGCTCCCCCTGTTCCTCGCCTCTCCCTGCTGCCCAGTCTTCCCCAGCCCCTCCTCGGCCTAACCACTTGCTCCCATAATCTCCCCACCCATCTTTCTCCACCAACTTTCCCTCCACCCCCAACCTCCACTGTCCTTCCTGTAGCCCTCCCTGAATCAGCCTCTCCTCCCCACCTCACCTGCACTTCTGACTTTGCCCTACCATCCAAACCATCCCCCCAACATCACTGTGACAGTCTAGTATCCCACTTCCCAGCTTCCACTAAAAAAAAAAAATAAAAATAGCTTCTGTCATCTCTGATGAATAATGATTAGTTCCCGGCATTTGTACTTTCTATCGCTGGGAGCATCATCATGTAATACTTGTGTCTGGCTTATTTCCCCCGATTTATTTTACAGCATGCTGAATGCTCCTGGCTGTTTGTGAGTCCTCATCTGTATTGTGTGTGTTTGTAAGGATGTGTGTACACGTGTGCTCAGTGCCACAGATGGACGTCAGTACCCATGCGACTGTCGGCGTTTGATTAGCCTTCCGTTTGGGCTCCACGCACAGAGTGCTGCGATGAGCATTCTCATTCCCCGTTGTCAAATCTGCTTACTTGTGTCAAGTGACTTAGTGATAAGAATTTGCACTGCCAACCCAAAGGCACGCAGTTCAAATCCACCAACCACTCCATGGAGAAAGATGATCTACTATTTCTGAAAACCTACTGGAGGGTCAGCTGTGAGTTGGTTCTGACTTGATGGCATCTAACAACAACTCTTATCACAAAAATGGCTCCGGGTGGCCTTGCTGGGTCAGAGGGCGTGTATGTGTTCAGCTCTGCCCGATGCCGCCGGACAGTTTCCCAAAATCACAGTGTCCATTCTCTCCTCCCCTGCTCTGTGAGGGCCTGGGTCAGTTGCCAGCACTTGGCATTTTTCATCTTTTTTCTGATTCCACTATTTGCTAAAGAAAGGAGCTCCTGTAGCATGGTGAGTAATGTGTTGTGCTGCTGAATATAAGGTCAGAGGTTCGAATCCACAAGCTGCTCCTTGTAAACTGACAGCCTCGGAAGCCTGATGGAGGGGTCGGTAGGAGTCCAGTTAACTCAGGGCCTTGGTGGGGTTGGACTTAGTTTCTAAAGAGTTACAGCAGTGATTGATAGGGAGAGAGGAGTGAGGGAGAGACAGTGCCCAGCTCAGTATAAGGCAGGTATCGTGTGGAACACACGCCCAGGGGCTGTGGGGTGGAGGTGAGGACTCCCCTCTCCCAAGTTCTTCAGTTCACTTGATAAAGGCTGGGGTTCAGATGGGCAACCGGATGTGAGAACTCGAGAGTGGGCCCGGCTTCATCCTGTAATTCTCTCACGTCTCAGGCCTCCTCTTGCCACAGGAAGTGTCCTGACACCCTTTAGATACTGAAATGTCTTGTTTTCCTTTCCAGAGGCGGATCTTAGATGGAAGCCTAGGCTTTGCTGCAGGGGTAAGTAGCGTGTGGCAGGAGACGTGTGTGTGTGTGGGGGGGTGTGTGTGTGGTCAGACATTCGTTCTCACAAGTCCCTTCGGAGCATTTCCAGTCTCTGTCCCATGCCTGAGGCTCCCTCTGACCATGACCTTGTATGTTTCCCAGGCTCTTAAGCAGCCCTGCCTCTCCTCCTCTCAGTGAGGAAGGTGCCTTGTTTGGCAGCTGCCCCCGTGCTGGTCCAATGAGATGATATCTAGGACAGGCTGGCATACAGCCTGGTACAGAGTTGGCACTAATTAAAGATCCACTTCCTTGCCTTTCTTGCAAATATGTTCAAACATGTTAAGAGGTGGAGATCATTGTGTGATAGACCCCCAAGTACTCATTACCCAAGCTCAGCCCCCATCAACATTTTGCTAACATCGTATCATCTGTCTGCCCCTCAGTCTTCTTTGGTGATTAGGATATTGATTGAAAGTGAATCTCGTTTTATTGATTAAAGGTAAATGACATAATTTCATCTGTATCTTTAGTAGGTGGGAACCTTGGTGGCGTAGTGTATAATGTATCGGGCTGCTAACTGAAAGGTCTGTGGTTCAAATTCACCAGCCATTCTCCAGGGGAAAGCTGAGCTGTCTGCTGTTATAGAGATTTACAGCTTCAGAGACCTGATGGCAGGTTGCAGCGCGTCGGGATCGACTTGATGGCCGGGGCTCGGGTTTTGGTTTTATTGAGTGTGTGGCTCTAACTGAGTGTCTTGTTTTTCCCAAGAGAATCACAAGGCCATTGCCAGACCCACTGAAATGATCACTTTGGTGTTTGTTCTGTGCCTTTGAAACAAAGCCAGCTCATAGCTGGCCCTCCTGTGTGTTTACAGAGGGTTTAAACTGCATGCAAGGAGATTGCCCATCTTTCTCTTTCAGAGCAGTTACTGGGTTCAAACCACCTGCCTTTGGATTGGCAGTGCGATTCCTTATGCACAGAGCTACCAGCGCCTCGGTATCACTAACGTCCAGTCTCTCTTCCTGGCCCCTCCCTCATCTTCTAAAACTGTTTTGCTGAAATTCAGATCAAGCTGAGTTTTCATGTTGAATTGATTTGCTGTCCCTTTTCAGTCTCTTAACAGTCCCATGCCCCTCCATCCCCAGTGGTGTGTTGGAGAAACCAAGGCATCTGTACTTAAAAGGCATTTGTCTGTAGTTAAGTCCCAGTTTCTGGAAGGGACAGATTGCCTTCCTCCTCAATTTCCTGCATTTCCTATACTCTGGGAGTTAGACTTTGAGATCTGCTGAATTCCAAGTTCTTTCTCTGGGCCTGAATGTGCTTTAAGTGGTGTCGTGTCTTCTGAACGCACCAGGCTAGTCAGAGAGTGCATTCTATGTTGGCTTCACACTCAGTTTCCCAGGGTTCAATGCGTTTCCCCTTTGTTTCTAATTCTGTGATCTGCACAGTCTGGCCTCTGGTGGGACCTGCAGACCGGCAGCCTTCAGACCAGGGCCCGTACACCTGAAGAGCTCACTGGGGCTTCCCAACAAGCATGCAAGCTTGAGGGTAAAACAAACCAACCCCGAGCCCTGCTGCTGTCAACCTGATTCCCACTCCTGTGTGCAGAGCACAACTGCATTCCATTAGACTCTCATGTCTGGGCTCTTTCTGAAATAGTTTGCCAGGCTTTTCTTCCATGGTGCCTCTACATAGATTTGAACTATCAACTTATAAATTAGTAGCTGTGTACTTGACTGTAACCGCCAGCAACACTTATATAATCTGACATTAACCACGTTGTTGTGTGTCATGGGATTGGAATCTACCCACAGCTGACCCTCCAGCAGGTTTTCAGAGGCAGTAGAGAGCACTGGAGGAGACTGCCCATCCTTCTCCTGCAGAGCAGCTGGTGAATTCGAACTGTGCACCTTTGCGTTAGAGTGCAGTTTCTCACTACGAGAGCTCCCTAACACTAACCGTGGGTAGTGGTAATACGACAGAACTGAGTCTGTGTTCTTCTTAAACTCCTGGCCCAGAGCTGGTTTTCCTTTCCCAGATTCCCTCGCACAGTTACCCTTCTCCCACTTGCGAAGAGAGATGCACTCCTGCCTCTGGGTAGCAAAACCTCCGTTCCTGACATGAAGGTCCCCGGAGATGCTGGTGCCAGGGTGAAGCATTTCAATCTTGTCCTGCTCTTTGCAGGGGAACCTTATTGAATTATCCATGGAGAGACCCTTCACGGTAACTTTCCATGATGAACCACGCTTGGATTTTGGCATATAACTTGGAAAAAGTTTGAAGAACAGTGTGACAGTGTTCTAGAGAAACATCTTTTTATTTCATCTCCTGATTTAGAAAATCCTGTTTTCTCTTGGCTTAGGTTAAAGAAAAAGAGAAATGAAAGTGAGGCTCCATTGGGGCTCATCTTCGTAGTGATTGCTTAATATTTATCCCTAGATCTGCAGGTGAATTGGAGGAAAACAAAAAATTCACCATAGCAAAATAAGAAAAATCCCATCCATGGAAATGTGCGTTTCCAAGAATATTTTCGTTTTTGTGTTTAATAATGATGAGACTGCATGCTCTATTTTTCTTGTTATGAATCTGTTTGCTACCACTAATCGTTATAATGATAACTCAATCTGGGAAATTGTTATTATTTAAGCTGTGGAGCTCTAGGCTCAAAAGGCATTTTAAAAACAAAACCAGAATGCATCTAGATGTTTTTATTGTAGAGAAATGTGATAAAGAAATCAGTAATAGATTTTCTAGCATAAAACAGAACTTGCTTGAGGATAAAATTTCCAGGGAGGGGAATTTATGACTGTTGAAGATGAGTTCGTGTGTAGTTTCTTTTGAGTGTTGAATAAATAAGCAAAATTTCAGAAGACGTAGTTATAGATAAGTTTATAGACACATTTTTAAAAGTATGAAATTATGGGAACCAAATTCTTATGCTAATTGATCCTGTTGTTGTTGTAGAGCATTGAGTCTGAGCTGACACATCGCTGACCCTCCAGTAGATTTTCAGAAGCAGTTATTCCTTTTTTTTAATAATAATTATTTATTTGTGTGTGTACCATCAAATCGGATCTGGTACAGGAGAAGATTGCCCCTCCTTCTCCAGCAGAGCATCTGGTGGATTCAAACCATGTACCTCTGGGATTGCAGTGCAGCTTCTTGCCTGTAGTACATCAGAACTCCAGAAGCAGTTATTCTTTTTTTTATTTTATTTTATTATTTGTGTGTGTGTGTGTGTACCGTCAACTCAGATCTGACTGGTACAGGAGGAGATTGTCCCTCCTTCCCCGGCAGAGCATCTGGTGGATTTGAACCGTGTGTCTCTGGGATTGTAGTTGCAACTCCTTACCACTAGGCCACCAGAGCTCCCCCTCAGAAGCAGTTATTCTTATGGAAGGAGATTGCCCATCTTCCTCCTGTGGAGCAGCTGGTGGATTCGAACCACTTACCTTTCTTTGTGTTAACAGTGCAGTTTCTTATCACTAAGCCGCCGGAGCTCTGTAATTGATCCTGTTACATCATTTAAACCTTCATGGTGTAAGATGTTAAGTGATGCACTGCTGACTGGGAAGATTGGAGGTTCAAGTCCATGAGCAGTTCTGAGGGAGAAAGACAAACTCTCTCCTCTCAGGCAGATTTACAGCCTCAGAAACCCAGTGGAGAGTCGCCAGGTCTCAGGACTCACTCGATGGCAGTGAGCAGTTGCAAAGTTTTCTTTCATTCAAGCTTTAAATACCACACGTTTTATCTTTTGCAAACACTTAAGATGAAAATATTTTGCATGTCATTTTAAAAATGAGTTGAAGGTTACTTGTTTTTTCCACATTCACTGGGGATTTGAGGAGTCCTGGTGGTGTAGTGATTGAGTATTCAACTGTTAACTTAAAGGTCAGCAGTTCGGACTCTGCAGCCAGCTTCTAGAGGTGTGAGATATGGCAGTTTGCTTCTGCAAAGATTACAAACTTGTTCCCTTCCAACTGCTGTAAATCTTGAATGGATTTTAATCTAAAAAAACCCTTTTCTTGTTGTCAGGTGCTTTCAGTGTGCTGTCAAGTAGTTTTGGACCTGTGGTAACAGAGTATGAGAGGGTAGAATTGCTTCATAGGTTTCCTAGTTGGCACAGTGCTGTGTGCTGCACTGCTAACCAAAAGGTCATTGGTTTGACTCTACCAGTTGCTCTCTGGGAGAGAGATGGACAGTTTCCTCCTTGAGAGATTTACAGTCTCAGAAACCGAGTGGAGGGCTGTTGTTAGAATCAACTCAAGGTGGAGGACTCTTCAAAGAAGCACATTTCCACATCTTTTACTTTAACCATCGTGCCTCCAGGCACTTTTCTGTAAAGATTGTTGTCATTGTAATCAATTGGTCTAAACGCTGTCCTCCCCTGTGCCACCCTCAGGGTCTCTGACACCCTCAAGCCCATCACTGCAGTCACCGCGTCCATCTACATGGCCGAGGGGCTTCCTCCTCTTCACTGCCCGTCCACCTTTCCAAGCATGCTGGTCCTCTCCAAGGAATAACCTGGCCTAGCAACATGCACAAAGTGTGTGAGGCGAAGCTTCAATAAAGAGTGGTGGTGGTGTTTCGATTGCTGTCAAGTTGAGCATGACTCATAGCGACCGTATGAACAAAAGGCCTGAAGCCTTTCTGTAACTATCGTCATGTGTCATTTGTTGTTGTTGTTGTTATGTGCCGTCGAGTCACTTGCTACTCATAGCGACCCTGTGTACAAGAGCCCTAAACTCTGCTCTGTCCTGTGCCAATCGCACTGTCTCTGACACTCCCATCCCAATTATCCCAGTCACCGAATCAATCCACCTCATAGAGGGCCTTCCCCTCCTACGCCGTCCCTCCACCCTCCCAAGCATGATGTCCCTCTCCAAGGACCAGTCTCTCCTCACAACATGTCCAAAGTATGTTAGACGGAGCCTCAGAATCCTTGCCTCCAAGGAGTAGCCTGGTTTAACCCTTTCCAGGACGAATCTGTTTGTTTTCCTAGCAGTCCATGGTAC